TCCTTTTAAACACCTTCCACATTTGCATACGTTTTTTCATTAAGATGGTGTTGCATCGAATGAAAAATATGGTAATCTGATGGTGCCATATCTGGAGAATATGGTGGGTGGGGGAGAATTTCCCAACCCAACTCCATAATCTTGTGTTCCGTCAAACGTGCCACATGTGGACGTGCATTGTCTTGGAGAAGAACACCTTTCCGATTGACGAGTGAAGGGCGTTTCTGATGAAGGGATGAATATAACGTCAATAAAAAACCAGAGTTACTCTTTTTGTGAACATCCTCTTGCAAGATATCGGCTCGAACATTTCAATTTCCTATACTAAATTCAACCATGAATCAAATGTTTTTTGTTGCATTTTTACCTTTGTGTCTGCTAGTTTTAAAATGTATATTGTTTTCCTTACCTGTTGTTACTGCCTTTGTGTTTGTTTTTGAAGTTAAGCACAAAGCTACACAATGAGCTACTTGTGCTGTGCCCAACGCGAGTATCGAAACCCGGTTTTTAGATTTGTAAGTCCACAGACATACCACTGAGCCACTGAGAGGGGGATGGGCTCTGCCTTTGTGGAAACTGCTTCAGATATTTTTCTTTGTCGCATATATATCTGTTGTTTCCTTGGATAATTTGATAGAAGAGTGAAGACTAGAAAGTTACAATATAGATGAACCCCCCCTTCTCGACATATCGAATAAATTATTTTATCTTTTGTTTAACATAGGAATATTTCTTATCATTGTCTCACGGATGAATATATATACTTTCCCGTATTTCTGTTGCATCTGCCAGATGAAGATATATATACTGTCCCGTATTTCTGTTGCATCTGCCAGATGAAGATATATACTGTCCCGTATGTCTGTTGCATCTGCCAGATGAAGATATATAGCGTCCCGTATTTCTGTTGCATCTGCCAGATGAAGATATATACTGTCCCGTATTTCTGTTGCATCTGCCTTTGCACAAACGGACTGTATAGGTTTGTTTTCTTTCGTCTTGTATTTAGAGTAATACAGAAGATGAGCAAGAGCATTGCCGAATAACAGGAATATCCATTACGATGTGTTCCTCATCTGGAATTTTCAAGAAACTGATATGGTTTGTATGAATGGTTTCATGTATTATTCGATACATAGAAGTTGAATGTATTATGAATGTTCTGTGCACACAAAGATTCTGTGGGTTTGTTTAGTAGATAATCACGTTTCTGACAGGACAGATAGGCCAAATATCACTGAAGAATGTGAAGTCCTATTCCTGATTATCTCCCTTCTTCTACATGTTGACTGGATGGTCTTATCTACTCTTTCTTCTATCTTGGTCTGCTATGTGAATGTTTATGTGCCTTTTCCTTGTTGCTGCTTCTGGACACACAGAATGAATGGTATACATGAAAAACACATACAGTAATCTTCGTCATACACACTGATAAGTTTTTCTGGGACACATTGTACATTGAAAGATGCAGCTGGCATCAGTTAACCATCTTACCCAGTGTTTCCTAAACTTTTGTCATCAACGTTCTTCTTAAATAGATATCGTTTCTTGCACACCCCCTATTTTGTAAATGAGTGAACGAGTGAGTTAGAAGACGAAATATAATATACGGATACACATAAAAATGTTATATGTGTTGTAGAAATTATTTGCTATTTTCGTTAATGAGAAATATAGTAAAACGCTTAATTTTGTATTATTGTACTGTTGACACTACCCTAATCGCTCTCACCCCAAGAGATCATTTGAAACCCATGGGGGGGGGGTGCGCCCCACACTTTAGTAAACACTGATCTAATCTAGTTGAAGTCATAAATCAGTATCTTCCAAATGGAATAATTTCCTGATATATCCGGATGAAAGAAACAGTTTCAAACTTTTTTTTTTCAGTTCATCAGGTTTTTATTCAATATCAACTGTACGTAAGATTTACATAACAGACAAGATATAAAAGGGGTGAAGGAAAATTAGATAAGTTGTATTTAAAGATATTACTAATGTTTGTAAGTTAAATGATATCAATTTAAACTTTAGCACATACTGAATCTATAAAACGACTTCTAGAAAACGTATATAAAACTCGACGTATCAAGTTGACTTTGTTTTTCTATTCAATAAAACTGGTTTCGTTTAATGACAAAGATCAAGAAATAAATTAAAAGATTTATGTTGCATAACAACAGAACGGATGAATCCAGTATAAATTTAAAATAAGGTTATGATAATATTATTTTCTTTGATAAAAACACAATATTGACAAATATATCATTCGTAATACCGTCCATAATTAACAAAATTACTATGACGATCATTACTTTAATTGTTATGTAAATAAAACACTAGAACCATCGCTTTTCCAAGACGACAGATAAAACTATTAACAACGAAAGAATACATAAAACATAGTAGGTACGTCTAACTGGTAATTAAAAGAGCAAAAGAAATTGAATATGATCTGGTAATTGCCAATTATAAAGTTAGCTGGATAAATAGAAAACAAAAACACGATTTATTCAATGGTTATCTGGAGAAACAGAAGACGAAACAATATGATGATTCAATGATTAGCTGGATAAACAAAAGGCAATAGAAAATTATATATTTAATGGTTAACTGTAGAAACAGAAGGCAAGATAATAATATGTATTTAATAGTTAGCTGGAGAAACAGTTAACAAGATAAAATTAATTCACTGATTAGCTTGAGAAACAGAAGACGAGACAGTATGATGATTCAATTATTAGCTGGAGAGAAAAAAGGCAATACAAAATTATCTATTGAATGGTTAGCTTGAGAAACAGAAGACAAGATAACATGATGTATTCAATGGTTACCAGGAGAAACAGAAAACAAGATAACATAATGTATTCAATGGTTACCTGGAGAAACAGAAAACGAGATAACATGATGTATTCAATGGTTAGCTGGAGAAACAGAAGACAAGATAACATGATGTATTCAATGGTTAGCTGGAGAAACAGAAAACAAGATAACATGATGTATTCAATGGTTAGCTGGAGAAACAGAAGACAAGATAACATGATGTATTCAATGGTTAGTTGGTGAAACAGAAGACAAGATAACATGATGTATTCAATGGTTAGCTGGAGAAACAGAAAACAAGATTACATGATGTATCCAATGGTTATCTTGAAGAACCAGGAGACAAGATAATATGATGTATTTAATGGTTAGTTGGTGAAACAGAAGACAAGATAACATGATGTATTCAATGGTTAGCTGGAGAAACAGAAAACAAGATTACATGATGTATCCAATGGTTATCTTGATAAACCAGGAGACAAGATAACATGATGTATTTAATGGTTAGTTGGTGAAACAAAAGGTAATATAATATGATTTATTCGATGATTACCTAGATATTTAGACTAGAAGAATGGTCAGAAAGCATGCTTGTTTGTTGTTAAGCACTAAACTACTAGTTGGGGTATTTGTGCACCCCCCCCCCCATGGGCATGAAAACCAGATATTTAGTGTTATAAGCCTTCAGACTTACCGCTGTGGTATTGTGTGTCATATTTAGTTTGTAGTTTAATAGATAACTAGAGAGAGATGAAGATTATTAGAATACGAGTTATTTAGAAC